ACAGTCCTCATCAGGGTCCATCAGTGGACCGACAGTCCTCATCAAGGTCCATCAGTGGACCGACAGTCCTCATCAGGGTCCATCAGTGGACTAGTCTCCTGCATGTTTCTGATATGAATGTAATGATTAAATGATATATTTTGGTGGTTTGATTTGAAGGTGTGAGAAAGAATAGTATCAGTAACATTGTTAACACTGTGCTACATTACAGAGAAATACAAACCGTACTAATGAACCTTCATTAATATAGGCCTATATTTTATCTCCAAGTGCACGTCACACACTGAGCGAGCCGCCTGTTATTGACGCTGTGGGCTAATGGGCATGTAGCTGTAACTGTGTTTAAACATGTTTAATATATATATATCTTTTCTTGTTTCTTAGATTGATGAGGAGACCGTGGTGTCGTCGACAGGAGCTCTGTCCCTGAAGAAAGTTCCAGAGGAGTTGATTGTGATCGGAGCCGGAGTCATTGGAGTGGAGCTGGTCAGCATCTCGTCTGTTTGCTTCTTGTCATATGAGTAGCCCTCTTTTCATAGAACCACTGTTACAGTGACAAATTCAAATTGTCTTTGTGCTCCCGTCCTGCAGGGGTCAGTGTGGCAGCGTCTGGGCTCTAAAGTCACGGCGGTGGAGTTCCTGGGCCACGTGGGCGGCATGGGCATCGACATGGAGATTTCTAAGAACTTCCAGCGCATCTTGCAGAAGCAGGGCCTCAAGTTCAAGCTCAGCACCAAAGTCATGGGAGCCACCAGGAGGCCCGACGGCAAGATCGACGTGGCGTGAGTAAAACACCCCTGAAACCTCACTTCCTGTTTGGATGAGCGTGTGAAATGTAAAGCAGCTGTTTGTAACCATGCGTGTTTGTGTTTCAGAGTGGAGGCGGCGGCCGGAGGGAAGAATGAAACTCTGACGTGCGACGTGCTGCTCGTCTGTATCGGCAGACGACCTTTCACCCAGGACCTGGGTCTGGACTCTGTGGGCATCGAGCTGGACAACAGGGGCCGCATCCCCATCAACAGCCGCTTCCAGACCAAAGTACCCAGGTACCAGCCAGCTCAGGCTGACATCTGTGAGAGACACAAGAAAAGTGCATCCTGCTCCTTTTACAGATGAGAGGGTTAAACATCACCAGAGTCCAGCTGCAGCTGAATCTCACAGGCCGATTACCTTTTTGAGAGTTTAAAGGTTTTTCTTGTTTTGTTTTTTAATTTTAATTAATTGAATTTTAATTTCATTTAATTTTCATTTATTATAATTCTTTTTATTTTCAATAAGAATCCTTTAAATTTGGTTATTAGAGAAGAATTTAGACCAAAATGTGTGCAGCTGAAAAATAAATGTGTCGTTAAAGTAAAAAGTAAACTTCACTGGATTAAAGCGGAATCAATAACGACAACAAATACTTTCTGAGTTAGCAAAAAATAAATTTGGATGTAAAAACATGTGGCATATAAAACTTTTAGATATAATGTAAAATAGAAAATAATAAATAAAAATTAAAAAAAGAAACAGTAAAAATGTGAAAAAACGTGAGAAATGCATAAAATATGCTGACAGTGATATTTGTAGTAAGACATCATCACATTAATTAGCAATAAGTGATTATAATAAATAAAACTTTTGGTTTAGTTTCTTTGCTTAAATTTTCAGATTCATTTTACAAACGAAGTTAACGTCTCTTGAAAGGTCAGGAAAGTTATGGAAGGTTACTGAAAAGTCCTGGAATCTAACATCAACCTGCAGAAGAAGAAACCAGTTTAATTAATATCATTTTTAATTTTAATCTTAGTCACATGCTTGCAATAAAAACCTGTTCTTCTGCATGTGAATGGTAACACTTCTGAATAGAAATGATTTTATAAACATTTGTCTCAACATTCGTTCTTGTGTGATTCAGTAATAAAGGCTGCTGAAGCAAACAACAACAACAGCAACAAAAAAACTCTGAGCGCCCTCTCCTTCACCTTTTCTCCTCCCTCAGTATCTATGCGATCGGTGACGTGGTTGCCGGGCCGATGTTGGCCCACAAGGCGGAGGATGAGGGCATCATCTGCGTGGAGGGCATGGCCGGCGGCGCCGTGCACATCGACTACAACTGCGTTCCCTCCGTCATCTACACGCACCCCGAGGTGGCCTGGGTGGGCAAGACAGAGGAGCAGCTCAAAGAGGAGGTGAGAGTCCAGAGGGGGTGCCTGTTTGAGGGGGAGAAGGGGGGTCGTCAGGGGTCAGCTACAAACGGCGAGACGTCACCACCACCCAGCTCGGCCTGTTAAACTGATGATGGAATTCAAAGAGGCGTGATTTGACGATGTTTGAAGCTGTTAGGAAAACTGATATCTCAGTGATATCTAGTCTCTGTGTGGTTTTTGGTCGAGCGGTGGTTTTACAGTCTGACTCCTCTCTCCTCCTCAGGGCGTCCCGTACAAAGTCGGAAAGTTCCCCTTCGCAGCCAACAGCCGAGCCAAGACTAACGCTGACACTGACGGCATGGTGAAGATCCTCAGCCACAAGGAGACAGACAGGATGATGGGAGCTCACATCCTCGGATCTGTAAGAGACACACACGACGTGACACGACATGACAAGCTGTGAATGAAAGTTAGTGTTTTCACACTTGGTCCTTTTCAGCCCTCTGTGTGGACTCAGAGCAGTGACTCAGCATCTCGGGTCACCTCCAGAGGTGGTCTGAGTTTGTTTTGTTTCAGAGGGGTCTGAGTTCTCTTGGAGTGTTCACATTTGCGCTAAAAGTGCTGAGTCACCGCTCTGAGTCTGTTAGTGTGAAAACAGGTCTGTGAAGAATGTGCTGTAAACTCAATGTAGTAATGGATGATAAAGGTGACGTTGTCTCGCTCAAACAGCTGCAATCAAAGTGAAACCATGAAGAGATCCAGTCAGTCAAAGAAAAAACACCTGTGTTGTGTTGGTGTGATGCCAAAACTATCCAGAGAATCTGGAGACACGCTGCCCGTCGCCTAAAAGTACAGTGTTCTCAATAAATGTCAGATTTGATGGATGTGTTGAAATCACCTGCAGGGCGCTGGAGAGATGATTAACGAAGCTGCTTTGGCCATGGAGTACGGTGCTTCCTGTGAGGACGTCGCCAGAGTCTGCCACGCTCATCCTGTACGTCCTGCTGCAACACACACACACACACACACACACACACACACACACACACACACAGTGAAACATTAATAAAAAGAAATCCTTCGTACTTTAAACTGGCTCAGGCTAAATGCACTCTCTTCTCACTTCATCCTTTTTCCACTCTTGTCTCTTTCTCCCTTTCATCCCTCCCTTCATCCTCCTCCTCCTCCTCCTCCTGCAGACGGTGTCGGAGGCCTTCAGAGAAGCAAACCTGGCCGCCTCCTTCGGCAAAGCCATCAACTTCTGATCCGCCGGCCGCTGTCGCACCTTCAGTGTACATAACGAGGACAAACAGGAAGCTGTGTGTGTCTCTGCGTTGAAACCTTCATCCACCCCTGCAGGATCCTCCGTGTACATCGAAACTCTACCACATTTAGTTCTAACGTTATTTAAATGTTCTCAATAAAACCATAAAAAGGGGTTCTGGGCGGTAAATAAACACTGACTGCACATCAGTCTTTTGTTTCCCAAACACATAGTTGAGAAGATCCCAGAGGAGAATATTATTCACTCATTTTCAGCACATAGAGATATAAATATTATTTTGGCTGGGGGGGCTGTGCTTTCTCTTGTTGGAGGGAGGAGGGAGTGTTTTTGTTTTTCTGTTTTTTTACAGAATTTAAAACCACAAATATGATGTGTAACCAGAGCAGGAAACTGAAGAGGCTTTTATTCACTCTTAAAGTTGCTCCTTGTGGGTCGAAACATTAAAGTACGTTGAGCTTCAGTCAGCGGAGTCACAGCAGGCGTTTCAACCCTGGATTATCAAAATATTTAGCGTGAAAATCAGAAGCAGCGAAGACATTTTCGAGACATTGTCGACTTAATTTAGTAATTAAAACCTTTTTAAATTAGATCATTTGTTCCCTCAAACCAGTATTTCTCAACAAGCTGTATTCAACAAGATCAGTCCCATTAAGGTGAGAAATGACAGCGTGAACAGTTGAAGACTAAGCCGTTCAAAATTGAAACTTTTTTTTAAGGTGCACTTACTCGCTTGTTTCCCAGAGCCTTCAAACACGCTTCAGTCTTCATCAACGACACTTAAGTCATGACAACTGAGCAAAGTCCTTGTGCTGAGATGTGGTCGACGACTCCGAAGAAGTTAGTAAATGCACATTAAGCTTTGATTCAAAACATAAAGATTAAAAAAATCAAAGTGTAAACTCCTCTATAGCGAGAGTGTCACAGCAGAGAACTTTAATTTCCTTGATGTGGGAATCATTTCCTCTGACTGATTTATGAAACGCAGCATTTCCTGTCGACGTTTTAAAGCTTCACTGTGGAGTTTTAGATCTCCAGTAGCACCCTGGTGTTTTGATGAGTGGTTTGTGTGAGTCCTTTACAGGTGGCCGTAACATGCCAAGAGATGCAGCGAAGAAAGAGACTGCAAGCTGGTTGACATGACTGTAAACAATGCAGAGTTTAAGATACTTAAAATCTGTGTTTCATGAGGAAGGAAGTGCACCTAACTCGTTGGACCTGAAGGATTCACGCTGTGTGTTTTAGTGACACTAAGAATATCTTTGGTTAATGTACATTTAAACTCCTCAGGTCACCTTAGAGTTGGGCTCCTGCTCAGTGCAGAACCAGGCGTTCAACACGCTCGAACATTGTGTTGATTTACCCATCAAAGACCAATAGAACTGAAGCTGTTGGTCGTTGCTTGGATACGGTTTCCTGCTCTGGTTGCTTCACTGTGATTGGCTCTGGCCTGCTCTTGCTTATCTCACCATTTAAACCAATAAAAGCAGTATCAGTTGAGTAAGACGGCAGCGTGTCACTGACATCTTGTACTGAGAACTGTAGCTCAAGTTAAAGTTACCCATTAAGAAGTTAAACCTGCAGAGGTGCTGGTATCAAAATGTTCTGTACAAACGTCCAGTAAAAACAGAAGCAGTCAGTAAACAGTCCAGCCGAGGCTGATGGGAGTGTCACTGGGTTTGTACTGGACACATTAATATCATAAGACCCTGTGTCTTCGAGTGAGGTCATCACACTTTGGGTTTGTTGTACCTTTTTTTTTAATTCAAGTTTTAATTGGTTTTAAAGGCTGGGTTAATGGCACACACGTATTATTCTCTGGGCATACTGGAATACAAGGCACATATTTTTATAACATGGAGGTTATATAACATTTCACACACACGTCCTCATACGTCACACTACAGGCTCACAGAGCACGTTCATGATTATATAGGCTTAAATTCCAGTTTGATATGAGTCCATCACCGGTCCAGAGGAGATCCTCCTTTCTCCTGATCGCCTTTTATTCTACTGAGCATACATTCATAAGACGCCATTTCCACCATTGCATGAACCCATTCTTTCAGTTCCAGGGCCTTTGTTGTCTTCAGTGTCGTAGAATAACTCCACAGACAGTTATTAGACCCACAATAATAACAGAAAACACACTTGGATAAGAATTAAAAGGATTTCTGAACCAAACCAACAACTTAAAATGTCTGATACTCTAATTCAGAGTGGTCTGACCAAACTACACTCCTATACACAGAGCAGTGAAGTTCCTATTTCAGTTTTACATCCAGCAGCTACTGTTAGTTATTACCTTTATTGCCAAGGAGGTTATGTTTCTGTCGGCGTTGGTCTGTTTGTCTGCAAAATAACTCAAAAAGTTGTGAACGGATTTTGATGAAATGTTCAGGAAAGGTGGATAATGGGACAAGGAACAGATGATACAATTTTGGTGGAGATCGGTTGAAGCAAAGTGGATAAAATAATATATAATTTCTATGGTCTGACAGCCTCAGCAGCAAGTCCAATTTCTACAGACGGTGAAAATAGCGCCATCTGGTGGCCGGAAAGCACGTCTAGTTCTACTTGCTAAATATTGTTGTAATTACACTATTGTAATCCTAGGTATTCTTCTTCTTCTTCTTCTTCTTCTTCCGAGGAAAACATACTTCCCATGGGTGAAAACTCACCAAACTTTGCACAAAGGTCCAGTCTCATGCCAGATATCCTCAGCTGTAAACTCAAGCCAATAGTCCTGATGGTGGCGCTACAGCAAGCGTCTAAAGTTCAAAACTTTGAAAATTCATAACAAATCAACCATACGTGCTACAACTTCACAACTTTCATCAAACTGTAGCCCCAATACTGAAGAAA